TAGTGGATCTATAGTTTTTTAATCAGTCACAAATACATACATATTCAAACAAAACATAACCAATTAAATTGAAAAAACTTCATGGGGATTTTTATTTTAAGATTTTTTTTAGTGAAAAAAATTGTAAGGTAATAGATTGTTTTATTCAGAAATAGTGAGGTTAAACCTCATATAAATAGGATTACATAAGAGATCTAATCTAAACTCCTAAAGGGCTTGAGCCTAAACCCTAATCACTAACATCCCCACCCAGTTTGATCGGGAGGAGACGATTAAACTGGAAAAACAAAAAACAAAAAACATAACATGAATGAAGACACCGGCAACGGCGGTGACAGAGCTCTAACGATGACGACTAACAACTGCTTATCGAAGAAGAAGAGGGAATAAGCGATGGTCACCAGCAGTTCCTTTGTATAAGAAGAGAGGAGCGGCAGCGACGATAATGATCATGCAACCGGTGGTATAGGGATCCGGAGAAAGGCAGCGAGAAAGAAAGAGGGTTCGAGCTGCTGCGGCGGACGGAGCTAATTCCGGAGAGATTGGCGACTGTAATGTTGATAAAGAAAGAAACTACTACAGATCAGAGGTTGCCCTGTACAGAAGGTGTCGTCGGACAGAGGCAACTACAACATCATAAGAGAATGAATCGAAAAAGAGATCTGAATAAGTGGCCAGCCGAGGAGGAGGCAGAAGGAGACGAGACAGTAGAAGAAGCTGATGAAAGGACTCTGATTTGGTGCCATCTGACTGTTTTATAATTTAAGCGGAGAAGATAAGAAACGGAAAAATAAAGAACATAATGATGGCACCTCCGACGACTATTAGAGAAAGTCGTCGGAGATGGAGGGCGGCGGCTACAAGTTGTGGTCAAAAGTAAGGTTTTAACCTAGAACTCTGATACCATTTAAGATAATATATTGTTTCATTTATAAATAGTGAGATTAAACCTCATATAAATAGGGTTACATAAAAAACCTAATCTAAACTTTAAAAAGTTTGGGACTAAACCTTAATGACTAACAAGAGCTTCACAAAAAACTCTCATATAATTCAATAATTCAATCATCAAGTTAATTTAAAATTTCACTAGAAATTTTGTTTTGATCATAAGATGCTTCCGGTGCTGTTGTTTCAATAATGAGCAACTTCATTCTCATCAATTTAGAGAGACGTATGATTTTCATCATTCGATGACACCAATATCAACATCAAAATATTTAGACAATCATTCAACCCAACAAATATTTCTTTGAAAATTTTTACTTTATTTTGAACAAAAAAATATCTTTATTTAGACCTAAGGATCTCATACATCTAAATAAACAAGGCCTCCTAATTTAATGGTCTGTGAACACTAACAAGAAAGGGTTGTTTGTACTATTTTTCCTTGTGACACACATCACAAGGCGGAACATTCTTATTACCTAATTTTGGATTTTTCTTTAAAAATCTTAAAACTATATTAGAGAGGTGAATTCTCAATCTCAAAAAGGAAGAGCAACTAATTCAAATAGTATATCCCATATAATTATTATCACTCCTCACAATCAGATTTTACTACAAATTCTGAAAATATACTTCATTTTTTTATTTGCTAAACATTTATTGTCCTTAACTTATTTGTAAACAAAAATAAGATGGATTCTGAAATTAGGAACTATTAATACACCTTATAAAAGCGAGATAGCATGACAATTACAAAATTCTAATTTTTATAATTTTTGCAAAAGTTTCAATTGGGTTATCGACCCTTAAACAAAGACTAGAACCTCAACAATATTTGAAAGAGCTTTATCAGAAATTGTCTTGTGAGTTTAGCGGATGCATCTTCTAGTCTATATTTTTCATTTATTACGTTCACAAAGTTTGCAATTTGATTATTTGAGAATGCAAACTTGGTAAATAAATCAGATTCAGATGCATCAAGAACTTCAAGTACAAAGTTGTTCGTTACCCTAAGGCCTAATTTATCATATAATTTTTAACAATAAAACAAAATTCAAATTCAGCACAAGTGTTAATAAAAAAACTCATTAACATATTAGAGTACCTCACAAACCCTAATTTCAAAGGAGTTTCGAAATTTTTAGAATGATTTGGAAGAAGGATGAATCATCATAGATCTAACGATTTAAAACGTTTTCGATCACAACCTCATGAGAACAACTAGAGAACAATTAGATTCTTGTTAACACAAAGTTAAGAATTTATAATCTGTAACTAAGCCATATATATGATACCATGTCAGTTTTCTAAACCTCTTTTGATTCCAACACAAATTACATTTAACCAGTGTTGCAGAAATCGGTCTAACACCAATTAAGATTAGGATGTTTGGCGTGAATTGATCAAAATCGGTCAAACTAGGGTTTGACGGTCTTAATAGTCCTCGGCGGTCATAGACAGGAAGTATTTAAAAAATTCAAAATTTTTAATTTTCAAATATGAAACCAAAATTTTAAATTTTCAAAATTTTATGTTTTCAAATTTTAAAATATTATAATAAAAAATTTCAAAATTTAAATGTTCTAAATTTTCAAATACTTATTTTTTAGAAAATATTAATTTTTTAAATAATTTTATTCATAATTTAGGGTTCCCGATTAATCGTCGATTAGTCATCGCCAATTACGATTAATCGTTTATTGTCAATGGATCGTTGATCTACCGACGAACGATTTTCACAACCTTCCTTGCATTTAACCAAGAAGAAATGACTTTATAACTCTTGAATTACTTTTACACCATACACATTTACAAAGTATACATGAAGAACAATAGTCAACTAATTAAGAACAACAAGAGGTAACTTTACAACAATCATCTAATCAAAATCCAAAAACAAAAACCATGATACTTAGGTGCGTTTAGTTGCGGAAAAATAGGACGTCTTCTGGAAAAAAATTTCAAGAAAAATGAGAATTTTGAAAACACATTTAGTTCATCTATTTTTTTTAATTTTTCATGGAAAATGAAAGTTTTTCATTTTCTAAAATTACAAAGAAGTTAGAAGTTTTTAGAAAACCGATAATCATTGTTTTCAATATTTTTCTAATTCCAATTTTTTTAAATATAAACACACACCCACTCCCCCCCCCCCCTACACACACACGGCCCCCCACCCCCCACACACACACGCACCTACAAACACCTACCCGCCCTCACCCACACCCCCGACAAACACACACATACACACCCCCCCCCCACACACACACATACACATACACACCAACCCATACTCACACCCAACACCACTAACACAATCACCGACCTACTATCGCCACCACCACCATTGCCACAATTGTCGCCGCCACCACCCCACTGCCATCGCCACCACCACCACCACTGCCCCACACCGTTGTCGCCCCCACGCCCACCTTACCATCGTTACCGTTTTCTAAAAATGAAAACCGATAGAAAAATACACATCTAAACACGTTTTCTAATTTTTTAAACTGAAAATAAAAAATAAATAAGTTTTAACTAAACACGTTTCTAAATTTTCCAATAAAAACTAAAAACGGAAAACAAAAAACGAAAAATGAAAACTATTTTTCCGTAACTAAACGTAACCTTAATGTTAAAATTAGGTTTCTCTATATCATTATCAATACGTTTTCTTGCTTTATGTCGTTATAACAATACGTTTTCTTCCTTTATATCATTATAAATTACATCGTGTATTACTTATAAATTCGACTATATCATTGAAATTGTCTAAACCTTATCTATATGGTGAAATATTTGTTTCTATATATATCGCTATTAACTTATTATTATTATTATTTATATAGTTATAGAATTACTTTTTTAATACATTGTACTCCTGGAATTTTTTATTTTGAACGTTGAAAACCCTAGCTATGTACAATTTTACATGGGCCGGGCTAAACAGTTGCTTGTCGTCTTTCCCAGCCCACAACGAGATAGTTTCACGCTCACATGTTTCCACTTTCCAGCCGAAGCGAACGGAAAAGCGTGTTTCCGTTATGTTGAAGCGTCTGTTAGTTCAAAAAGTTAGGACAAACCTTTAACTTGTCACACAGAGCGCCACGTGTCCACGCAAATCGGATCTAAAAATGATCCTACAGGATCCAAAATCCGCCCCAAAACAACTCTCAGCCCGTATATTGATTTCCCTTCCTCCTTCCTACGTGTCATCCGACGTGTCTGATTACATGGCACCTTCGTGGCCCTTGATATATCCACGTAATCACAACGAATATAATATCTTCCTCCACAAAATCTCTATGAACCAGTAGATACGAAGCCCCCTTTACTCTTTCTGACAACCTAACAAACCCTATTTATAAATCTCCAATCCGGATGATTTCTTTAACTTCAAACTTGTTTCATCGATAAATCAAACCAAAATATTATCAGATTTGCTGTAACGTTGTGGTGTTCAACGCAAAATTTGACCGACTTCTGAGGATTTGAGCTTTGAGTCAAAGCCCTGTCCTCTGTTTCTCCTGTAACCACGGTAATGTTATTATTCTTAAGTGACAGTCAAACTGAAGTATTGTGGAAGCGTAGTATGATTCATTTGGTTGGTTTTTTACTTAAATTTTCGTTTATTGTTGAGGAAATTGGTCCAGGGAAGATCTGAGAAGTTTTCTATTTTTCTGTAGATTGAAATTTGTATGTAGCTACTTTTAATTATGGTTGTTTTAGAAGTTCATGATGGATTTCGTATGAATCTGAGTCTAGTGTCTTGTTCTAAAAAAAGGGAAATTACAGAAATATGTATGAATCTAATTGCAAGTTGCTGTTTGATCTAAACTGTTTCCTTTTAACTACCGTGAATCATTTTACCTTGACCGATTCATATTTTCTGATTCTCTCATCCGATTTATACAGAGGGTTATTTGAAGATATCTTTCAAAACGTTCATCACTTGGAGACAACGTTATGTACCACTTTTCAAACAAGAATCAATTTGTGTTAATTTCTCAAACCAACGCCTTGTTCACCGACAGTCTGTTTGAATTCTGTTGATGAGGAGTATTACAGTGAACACCAATGTTCCGGCAACTAAAGGGTTGGCGGAGCTCAACCACCACCACCGGGACGAACTCAAGCAAGTCAGAAATGGAGCGGGGATTGATGGTCAAGGTCTCTCTGAAGAAGACGAGTCAAGGATTAACGAAGATGTGAATAGTGGTCGCCAGAACCAGAAAAACCTGGTTCACATTCATCCCCCCCACGATGCTCTCCATAGACAACATCAACAAAATCAAGGCTCCATGGTTGAATGGGAGAGGTTTCTTCCTCTTAGATCTCTCAAAGTTCTTCTGGTTGAAAACGATGATTCAACTCGTCATGTTGTCAGTGCTCTCCTCCGTAATTGCAGCTATGAAGGTTTTTTACTATTCATATGTCAATAAATGCTTCTGGTACGTATACGTATATGCCTATTGCCTAGTATTGTTTACTCTCGATACTCTGATGATTGATGGTGTAAGTAAACTAAGGCTATGAAGGTTTATAACTGATTCTTTTTGTTAATTTATTCACGAAATTTAATTACTTTATTGCAGTTACGGCTGTAGCAAATGGTGTAGAAGCATGGAAAGTGTTGATTGATCAAAACAAACAAATCGATATTGTTTTAACGGAGGTTTTAATGCCATATTTATCGGGTATTGGTCTTTTATCCAAGATCATGAACCATGTGACTCGCAAGAATGTCCCAGTGATAAGTGAGTATATATATATATATATATATCTTTGTTCTTCTCTCATGTATTCTTACAACTTATTAAGTAGTTTTAACAGCTTAATTAAGTCCTTATTATGTGGTTAAATTTGTACTTAATGAGTTTTACGTGCAGTGATGTCATCCGATGACTCAATGGGTATAGTCTTTAATTGTTTATCCAAAGGTGCTGTTGACTTTTTAGTCAAGCCTATTCGAAAGAATGAGCTAAAAAACCTCTGGCAGCATGTATGGAGGAAATGTCACAGTGTGAGTTAATTTAGTTGTATGTTATTTCTTCATGACTAAAAATGGAAACAAGTTTTGGACTTCGGCTTCAGGTGTGTTCTGATTTCGTATGTTACTTATTGTGGGGTGGAGTGTACTGGATTTGAGCTAGCTACTACGTACTTAACTTCTCCAATATGCTCATCTGTCCATGTCAAAAATTATATTTTTATCAAAATTCACCATTAATCGATCTAAAAATCTTTCTTTTTCTTTTGCTTTAATTTCTCATTGTTTCATCAGTCTAGCGGTAGTGGGAGTGAGAGTGGTATTCGGACTCGTAAATCTTCTGCAAAATCAATAACCAACAACAAACATGATCATGATGATGATAATGATGATGATGATGAGGATGAGGATGAGGATGATAGCCATACCAGTGATGATGACGTAAGCATGGATTTAACTGCCAAAGGTGGCAGCGATAATGGAAGTGGAACTCAGGTAATTTTTCACTTTCTTGCATGAAAAAACATTCAATCTTCTTAAAAAAATTTAAAGTATTTATACTTATCGCTTATTTTACATTCGTCTTATCTAGAGTTCATGGTCAAAGAGAGCTGTAGAAGTTAATAGCTCCCAAGCGCAATCCGTGTGGGACAAATTACAAGATCCACGTGTCAGAAAACAACATGTCACCCAGGAAGATAAACTAGGTAATTAATTTTAGCAAAAAAATTTTCACTTATATATTCATCTTCGTTGACTTTTTCATCATCCTGTTCATATAATAATATTATTGCCTTAAATGTTTGATCTTCTTATAGAAACTGTTGAAATGGGGAAAGACTTGGAAATCGGAGTCCCTAACAGTTCAAGTTTCGAGGTTGAAGATGCAAAGAAAAAGTCAATGAACAAGTTTTCCGGGTCAAATTTGAAAAAAGTGGGCGATGATTTGGATATTAGTATGAAAATTGGTTGCGAAAATGGTCCCACCAAGATGACGATGACGAATGTTCAGATTGAAGCTTTACCAAAAGCAACCCAATTGCTCAAGAACATTAATATTGAAAATAATAATACTAATATTAATAATAGTAATAATAATAATAAATCTATTTATTATTCAAAAGAATCGCCTACCCTGGAGCTGAGTTTAAAGAGGCCAAGAGACGTGGAAGATGCCGATGCCGATGCCGATGCCGGTGGCGATGACCGGAATGTGTTACGCCATTCCGGTGTTTCAGCTTTCTCAAGGTACAACACCAACACTGTATCGAACGTTAATCAGGCTCCAACTGGAATCGTAGGCAGCTGTTCGCCATTAGGTATCAGCTCAGAAGCAGTAAACGCCGATAACATAAATTCCAACTCAAACGGAAACCGTAATCAGCCGTCGAATGGGAGCGACGATATGGGGTCCACCACTAATAACGCTTTTCCAACCAAACCGGATGACAAACCGGTCCCAACTGGAAACGGTTCAACCATCCAAATCCAAGCGGTTCACCTTACTTCCACCACCAACCTTCAACCTCTCGAGCCCTGTACTGACGGTGATAACACAAAGGCGGCGGGGCAGCAGGTTCAAGTCCGTCACCACCACCACCACTACCACCACCACCACCACCACGTCCATAAACTTCAGCAACAGAAAATGGTGGATCCCGACATGGTTTCGAATATTTTGACGGTGTCGGCTGAAGGAAACGCGGCTAATTTTGGGAGTGCCTCGGGAAGCAATAATAATGATAATTATATTAATAAGAGTAATGGGGAAATGGAAAAAGGCGGGGGTTGGCAGCAAGTAAAAAGCGCTGCTCCGGCGGTTGATAATGGAGTCGCCGGAAAATGTAACGGCGGTGATGGAAGCGGAAGTGGTAGTGGACGAGGGAGCGGGGTGGATCAAGACCGGTTAGCGCAACGAGAGGCTGCCCTGAATAAATTCCGTCAGAAGAGGAAAGAAAGATGCTTCGAGAAAAAGGTATTTGCAATTTGTCTTCTTTCAGTTACACGTGTCATCCATTTAACAATTTCCATTTTCATTTGAGTTTAAAATTATTGAACACATTCTTCATCAGGTGCGATACCAAAGCAGAAAGAGGTTGGCAGAACAGAGGCCACGTGTCCGTGGACAATTTGTTCGACATGGTGCTAACGGCGTTAACAATGAGGATGCTGATTCGTAACGGTTGTCAAGTCGGTGTTTGTTGTTTTTCTATATGAAATAATAATAAGTAGATGAAAAGGTTAACTGTTGTTGTTGTTGGGGGTAGATATGAAGTTATGAAGGGTACATTTGAAGATGGGATACATGGGACACACAATGAAGAATTAGAAGGATGAAATTTGACTGAGTCTTCGATGAGGATATATTATAGTCCCATGTTTCTCTAGGAGGAAGCTTTTTTTTTTTTTTTTTTTTTTAAATCCGAGGGTTCTTGATTATGTTTGATCTTGAACTCATGGCCTAATAATGTTTGGTTATTGTTGTTGCTTTGATGTTCTTGAACTATTGTCCAAGATTATCTTTTTTATTTGAGCAAGGTTTTTTTATAATCTCACTAAAAGCTTTTTAGATTTCATTTTTAACGTCTTCAATTATGTAGTTAGCAGCGGTTTGATAGCATTTGGATAATTCAGGGGCGCCGAATGAGTATGTATTTGACTAAAAATATGTTGTTTGGTAAAATATTGTTGCATGATAAAAATTACCATTTTAATCTTCTGAATTATTTTAGGTCAAACAATAACAAATTAAAAAACAATTTCACCGTCCTACATGTAAAATTGTTATTCCTTCATTTATAACAAGTTAATCACCCTCCTTGATGGAAAAGCCAAAATAATCCACATAAGCTACAATCTACATAGTTTGCCTTGACAGAGGAAGGAGCCCCATCAACATGAATTTGTCTGCCTTCTCTTTCTAATTACATATTCACCACATTAAACCCTAAACCCCTCACACGAACATGAGTTTGGTAAAAGATTTTATATATATATATATATATATATATATATATATATATATATATATATATATATATATATATATATATATATATATAATGGAACAAATTACCAAATACATGGTGATCAAACATCATCAGCAACTACCCAAAATTCAAATTTCAGACAAGCACATACCCACACATATAGACATGGAAATCAACACACATACCTATTGTTGATGAAGACATGAATCACAATTGCAGATGAAGACAAAAATACATACAAACGCAATCGATGTGGAGCATCCATGGTAGAACTTCATTTAGAATGATGGGAAGAATCGACAATAGCTACCATGAGAGGAGGTCACAACACATGCTATGTCGGATAAGAGCAGAGGTGGAGGTTTGTGCCATATCAATATGGAGGTGTATTAGAAGGAAGAAGGTGGTGTTGTTTAATTAGAGAAAAGAGTAAACAAAACCTATTTTTTTCATTCAACACCTCACCTAGGTCTGACCGATTCAGAATCTTTTTGACCTATTCAGGAGGAATGGAAAAAAAGTACTGAACCAAACGCTTTTAAATCTGACTGATTTAAAAACGAGTCTTTTAATGGAACCATTAAGAGGCTTACCAAAGAGCCCCTTAGTAAATGAACATGATAAGATCGTTGTTGTTTGTCACACAAATTTAATATAGTTATGTTTGATTTTAGAAGGAGATACATACTTTGTTTAAATCTCAAACACGATGCAATTATTTGGTGGCGTGCATTGTGAGTTGAAATCTTCTTTGTGGCTTCATGTGTGAAAGAGAGGAAGGATTTATATGGTGTGAAAAGTTGCATGGTTGCAAGGAGTGTGGAAAAATGACAAGATAGTAAATGGTAACCACATGTGAAATAATTCAAATTGGGTGGTCCTTTGAGCTCAATTTTGTTCAATTTGTGAAAAAGTAACATATGATGATTCTGAAGAGAGTCATATAAAAAGAAGGTAGAATAATATTCTATCCAATAAGAGACTAAGAAACAAAATTCTTGAACATAGAAAGATATTCGAATGCAAGTGGATATAGATGAAACAATAAAGATAAACCTTTCTTTCTTCTTTTTATTAGATGGTATTATATGTTCATAGATTATGGTCGAACTTTCGATATAATTTATTTATTTAATTATACTTTTACAGAATATACTAAAAATTGTGCTAGGAGTTAGACATGCGTACATCTAGAATTTAAGTAATTAAGATAGTGATGAAATCAGGAGCTCTTTTTATCTTCTCCTTTCATTCTTGAAGACAATCGCATTATATGCTTTTCCACAATCTGCTGACCATATTAGTTTGTTAAAATATTAAAATAATCTATTCCATATAATTCAAAACAAACTCATCATTCAAACTTTTTTTCCTTAAAAAATTATGAAGCACGAAACATATAATGGTAATATTCCTTTGTGTAACTTACATTAATAAACCACACCATGCAATGTTCAATAATCACTCATTTTACACAAAACTAACCTTCAAAAATTAATAAAAAATGCTACAGTTTTTACAACCACAAAACAAACCAAAGCTAAATAAAAACTAAATTCTCCTTTTCTCTGATGCAAAAAATCATTGGGAGATATAATATATAGCCATTTAAACAACAAAAAAAAATAATATGTAAACATAGTGAAAAGATTAATAGTGCACCTTTTTCAAGATCGACTTCCTGGATAGAAATAATCAACACTGTTTTCCTTAACCCTGTAATGAAAATTACGGATCTTGCCCTTCATCCTCCCTAATCCCTTGTTCAATACTGTCAACTGCACAATGCCAACACATTTTCTTTTTGTCTTAACCCATTAAGTCAAAATAAACAGACTTTATGTATAAAACACTTTACCTGGCCATGAATATCTGCTGCCAAACCAGTGACCAAAGGCTCTGCCTTTAGAGTGATGTCAGCAAGGTACTCCATTTGTATAGGAAGGGTAAATTCGTCTCCATTTGAATATATGTCCTCATGAATAACTGTGATTATTGTACAACCCTATGGAAACAAAAACAAATTATTACACAATTCAGATTCAAAAAAAGAAAATAAGAAGGAAGAAATGTTGAGATGGTGTCTTACAAACTGTGTTGTTAATGTATGACAGTAATGCATAAAATTTAGAACATCTTTTGTAGAACCATTTGCAGCCACTTCTAGAAGGGAAATGTCATCGATTATAATTGTAATGTTTTTGTTTATTGAATTGGCTTCCACAGCTTTATGAATATTTCCATACAAAGCAATTAATCCACCTTCAACCCCATCATCATCTGCTCATTCAAATGATAAATAAAGTTGAGAAAAAGGCTATATACATAAAATTAAATTACGAAATTTTTTAACAGATTAGCATACAAAAAAGGGAATTTTAAGTGATATTCTGACCTGGACACTCCAGCATAAGCATGTCAAAGAATATCAATCTTTTATTCTCCCTTTGCACAGCTAAGTTGCAACCCTGTTAAAATATTTAATGATTTGCAGATTAAGATCTTTCATAACTTCTAATAGATAACAGATGTACAATAAAGCACTGCAAAATTGTTTCAGAAGGATGTAGTCAAATTGATCGTTTGATATAGATATACATATAATACAATTCTCTAGGTGATAGCAAAACTATACTCTCTTTTCTTAAATTCAAGAAGCTCTTAACTTTGGGTATATTTCACTGCTGTAACCAAATTTTCATTCAAAATTTTCAATTCATATCCCCATTTCCATTTGACCAGAAAGGTTCAAAACTGGTTCAGCATATGGGGAAGAGGGGAGTGATAACTGGAACGACACGTATAGAAAGGGAAATATCAAATTGTGGTGATTCAAACGTAAATGCATTAGCACCACCCATTAATCACGACAAATGATTGATTGCATTTTGACGTTTTATCTATCTGTAGAAAGTAGAGACTACAGAACAAAATAGTCACACACCAGGACACCACTTTTTGAGAAAGAGATAGATATGGCGATAGAGGGGATGTACCATCTTACGAAGGATACGGTCGTAGTGAGAAAAAGGTTGAGCGAATGCTACAAAAATGACGACACTGTCGGAGGATGAATGATTAGGAGAGAGAAACCGTTTTATTAGGTGGTGTAGCACGAACGCGCCGCTAGTTTCGACGCAATCCTCCACTAGAAACACGCGTCCGACCCGTCGCTGCCGGCTATTCGATTCTCCGTCGTCGAAACCTAGAGCTTCGTCCAGCAAAGTCGCCGGCCGATTCATTTTTTTCCGATCAGACTTACGGTGACGGGGTTTAATTAGGGTTTGTAAAAGATGACCGGAATCCAATAGAGAAATAGTGATTATAGCTCCATATTAAATGCACGTGCTTTTCACGTGATCTTTCAAATATTTCTAGTTTGCCCCCCTCAACTATGAAAAAAAAAGACTTAGATGAACTTTTTAACCGAAAAAAATGAACCGGAACCGATTACTGGTATTTGGTCTGATTCCGGTTCTTTCAATCCATCATTTCGGTTTTTGGTTCATTTGGTTTCGATCCACGATTTGTGCCGAACACCTTATATAACGTATTTCCTAGAACAAAGTTGGAATTGATTGGAAGTGGCTAGTGGTATTTAGTCCGGTTCTCGTTATCTCATTCACTCCATAATCGAGTTTCAATTATTCCGATTTTGGTCCGGTTTTGAAACTGGAGCGACTTACATCCCTAACTGCGTATAGGAAAGTCCAGCATCCATAATAGAGCTTTTTTTTTCTATATAGTTTTTTCATTTTAAAACCTTATTTTTTTCATGTGTTAATTAATAAATTTTTGTCATAAGCTTGTTCAATAAACTTTTGGTATAAGTTTTATCAATAAACTTTTGGTATAAGTTTTTTCATTAAAAACTCCACCAAAAAGTCTTCATAGATGTTCTTATCATTCAAAAGAAATAAATTTGTGTCCGCAGGTCGCGCCCATGCACGAGTTCGGTGTTTTTGGTCTACGGAACCAAGATTTACACCCCCCCTGCGCGCGGGTAGGAATTGTAGCATAACCATAGACACAAGCTTGTAAGCCTTCCATGCAATGAAACTTATAAACCTTGTTGATTTTGGTCTCTCTACCAATGTGGGACTCATTCCCACATTCCTCTCTTTTGCTAAACTTATTCTCAAATACCCATATTTGAGTATCGATATCTCATTCACTTATACTCTATTTTGGACATATAATATATCGTTTCAAAGTTCTCATGGAGGAGAACACAAACCCACTTAGAGTTCGTTATATATACAACATATGTATATATTTATATATGTCCAAAGTTAGTAAAAATATAAATATTTATACCAAATTTCCAACAATAACAACCAAGAATCATGAGCTTGTGATATATAAAATATGTGTGTCGAAACCATAGATGATAGTGTAAATAGTTGATAAGAGAATATGTATTCATACAAATTCGATGCAATGAAAGCTAATGATATGTTGATCCCCGTGAAAATTGAGGTGTGTCGACAAAGTATGTATGCTACCTTAAAAGATGATGCTCTTCATTGGTGTCAAATCACTTACGACTCGTGTCTTTTTTTCAAAAGGAACTTATTTTCAAATCACTTTAAGTTTAAGTTTATGAAGGGCTTATATTTGTTAAGGGCAATAGGTTAAATGAAATAAGAATTCTTAAATCTAAAAGAATGTGGAATGTTATGAATATATATATATATATATATATATATATATATATATATATATATATATATATATATATATATATATATATATATATATCATTATTATATATAAAAGCCCTTTTATTCTGGTGCTTTCAATACAAAATTCATAGTGTTCCGGTTCCTCCACGTACCCAATCCCAGACATACACCTTTTCCAAATTCAATTACTCCTTCATTCTATGCCTCTTCGAATACACGCAACGGTACCTCATCAACAAAATCTAACCAAATCATCCACAAAACGGATTGCAATTATTACGCAACGAACACACAATTCCCCCAAATCTTCACCGCAAACATTCGTAATATGAATCAAATAAGAACGACACATTGATCCTCCTGTCGTCATCTCCATCTTCCATCATCATCTTCCTACTGGTATTTTTTCTACACAAACCCTAATTTGATTTTAGTTCTTTCCTATTCTTTACCGTTAATCTGTTGATGTATTTTCCTATCCCGTTAAAATTTATTTGACCGGTGTGTTTCCTCCAATCGGCAAACTCCATTTCGGTGAAATATCCGTTCAGGCATAATTTTGTCCAATTGTACTGTAATTATGATTAACAATTGCACATGGATAAATTATTCCAGATAGTTAACATATTTTCTAATTGTAATTATCATGAACGATTGCACCAGGGGAAAATATTGCGGACAATTTATTCCATTGGTTGCTTTTACATTGTATATCCTTGAGATTCAAGTATATAAAAGCTCAGTATTATTCCTAGAAATGCATATCATATTGCAATCTGTTTTTCCTTTTTGTTTTCAATCGTGTAAAAGGGAAATTTAAATTCCTTCAAACAAATATACAGCATATTACATTTTCCTTACATCTTAATATCCACATTAATTTCAAATTTACCTGGTTCATTTAAGTACTCCCACTCTTGACAGCATTTAAGAAGGAAAATAAGTAACCCTATTGTACAAATTACTGCAATTTCCCCCATCTACCTGAAAATTTTCCAACATAAAAGAACTTGAATTTAATAGCTGGTAAATAACTAAACATTGCAACATCCAAATATGCTTTTTTAGAGTTCATCAATCATCATCGTTATAGTACCTTTTAACTTATATTGGTATACAGACACTATGAATGGATATATTTCTAATTTTCCATAATTCGCTATCAATGACAAAATGCAGAAAGACTAATAAGAATTGCTTATATTTCACAGCTACATCATCATTCCTATATGTTGGTTATGAGTACAGAGAGCAAGAGAGCATTCCAAACATTCTGCTTCTCTTTTTTCTTTTAACAAACCCAAAATGGTGTTATTTTTTTTTAGATTTTTACACTTATATATATTTACCAAATACCCTTCATCAATTATTGGTTCAATAATCAATTTTGAATATACAATTATGAAATGATAACAATATAATTCTTGATATACTGATAATTCTAGTTGGTTTTTTTAACTCTACTGTATGGTCCCTTTCCCGATTTCCTTTTTTCTAATCGGATTTATATTCAAGATTTGGGATTTGGAATTTATATTCCTATATGTTGGATTAGATGCAGAACGATCAAATTTCTGTGAGAGGGATACATCTGCATATTTTCTTTATTTGAATAACTAAAAAATATTTACACAGTTATATATTTCGGTGCTCCCCAGAAAAATGATTCGTCTTTGGCAGTTCAGTCGATCCATGATCTAATTGGTGTTCATCATAATTTGTTTTCACATGCTTATTTTTTCTGTTTCTTTGTTCATGTTTAAATTTAACGAAACTTATTTGACCGTCTGCAATAAAAAAAGCAGTCTAATTGGGCAATTTATGTGCTAATAATTCATGTGTAGTGTGATCTAAATGAGCAAGATTTGACTATGTGTTTCGTATTCAATATCTTGAAATTTTGGATAGAACTAGAAGGAAGATTGGTTTTCTTGCATAAAGTTCAAGTCCTCAATGTTAATTAATTGTTTTCCAAAATCAAGACAAATGGCTTGCTTCTGACATCATCTATTGGCGAAGGTAAATGTAAAAGACCCAATTTGGCCATTTGTCATATACACTTATTTCTTATATAATCATAATGTTCTAATTTTTTATTTATCCTTTTGACTTTTTGGTGCTTCATAAATACTGAGAGGTTATAATGGTAATTTATATTTTCCTTGTGCATGGTCTTATCACTGGTTTCATGCGATTGAAAAAAGGCAGGGTTTACCTTTCATTGCAACGATGCATGAATGTGATCTACTCGATTGACTTACTAAAGTCAATAGTTGTTAAACAATGATAAAAAAAAAAAAAAAAAGTAAGTTACAACCTGTTATGAACTTGATCTATTGATCTAGGCATGTAAAAAAAAACTTAAGTGGTAAGTATGCTCTTAGATGCATAAAAATGGAAGAAGAATTGTTGCCGGACTTGGGTTAGAGGGATGACACAAAGTGATCAAGTTTCTGACCACTTGACTATTTTTTTGTCCCTTTAGCTGGAAGATTTTGTGAAGCTGGTTTGGATTGTGCTTGGGGTAAAATAGTCATTTAGTCTCATGCCAACAATGTATTCAATCGGAAAAAAAAAAAAAAAAAAAAAACCTTATAGCCCTAAGACCATGAAGCCACAATGCCTATAAAAGTTGTCAAGTTATACAAGTAGGATAATTCATGATTTTCTTTCAACTGTTAAGTTGGATTTTCTCTGTTCAATGTAAAAAATAGAGTTGGGTGGTCTTGTGGTTTTCTCCATCTCGGGTCATTAACCCACTATAATTAGTGGTGTTTGGATGTAAGTTTCCACCATCAATTTTAAAACTAGAGAAGAAGAATCATTTATTTGAAATTGGATGGCTATCTTTGGTCACAACTTCAAACACCTACTATGGCTTGAGTTTGTAAGGATAAAAAATCGTTAAAGTATATTTGAGTTACTATCAATAGACAGTCCTCATGAGTTATTGACCTCTTGGCCTTTATTTTGTTTTTTTATTAATGATTTCCGTCTATTGTGTGCTATCTAAATAAGGAGCTTTTGTATTTTATGCATAATTTTGATTTTCGGTTAAGCTGTGAGTATTATAATCTTTTGCAATTTGTTGGATTATTTTACAAGAAAGGAAGTTATGATAATCTTTTTTTGTTCTTTTTTTTTTTTTTGCTTTGTATAAAAGAATCATTATATTTGTTATCAACATGAGATGTATCTTTTAATATTGTAAATATTTTGTAGTTTAATAAATTAACTGATAGTTAGATACAAAATATAATGTAAGATTGTATGACTAACAAAGGCTCAAGATACATAGTCCATACTCCATGGACCTGTTTAGTATATAGCCAATTACACGAAACTTTTTCGTACTTGTGATATTCAGGTGAATATTTATAGCCACTTAGTGAACACAATTTACAAGATTTATATACATTCTAAAGTTTAAATGAAATTGTAGGTTGAGAGTGAACATGCTTACCAGTTCTCTCTCCAGCCCTCTGATGCACCATAGTTTATCTACAAGACTGAGTGTAACTATAACCCGTAAAAAACATATGGTTTATCATAATCCAAAAAAGTAGCTCCTGAAAAGATTAAACTAATGATGTAATTTTTAACGTCTTTTGTTAACCAGTTACTTGAACCTTGAAC